TTTAGCAGTTTTGGGAGCGGTTTCTTGGGCTGCAGATTTCTCCTAGGGATCGTCTTTGTCCGCTGGTTTCCTTTTGGTCGATCTGCTGAGGAAGGACTTGTCTGTCTTTTTAGTTGTTTTTGTTTTATGTTTTTGCTGTATTTGTTGTTTGGTCTGGTAGGTTTTGTATTTTTGGTTTGAGTCGTTGGCCGTTGTTTTGCCCAAGTGAGAGTAGACATTATTCTGTTGGGATCATTTTAGTCTTCTTTTTGGGTGTTAGTTGTGTCTTTTTTGTGTGGTGTTGTGAGTGTGTTGTTCTAGCATTGCTAGATTAGGCTCTAGGTGATTTTCGGATTTGTCTTCCCAATTTTTTCAGCCTTTGGTTGTATTTTTCAGTTTTTGGTTGTTTTCTTTTCGTGTGCGTTTTATATATAAAATTTTTATCGTTTCGAAAAAAATAAAAAATAAATAAAAATACATGAGTTATTTGAAAGTAAAAAACAAGTATAATTGAGGTACAAAAAAGTGGATACTTCCCTAACGTCGCGAAATGCAGTCGTGCAATTCAAGGGCAAAAATGTCAATTCAAGAGAGAGCACAGGGTCGACACCAATTATCGCGTTCAATTTACAGAAACCCTAGAAATCTCCACAAAAGCCCTCAATTGAGCTCCGGAGACCAAACAACGGCAATCTAAATCGGAAATTTAACAAACCGATCGAACAAGATGAGCGCGTACATGAGCCGTCTTTTCCCCAGATCCAACTCGAGCTTCTTCCTGCGCAGCGGGAGCGCATTGGAGGCTAAAGTCGTGCGCCTCAGGGAGGAAATGTACCTTCTGGACGCCGGCGTCGGCCGGCCGAGAATCGCCACGCAAAACGAGCTCATCCGCGCGCCAAAATCCCACGGCCCGGCCACCTTCTCGAGCCTGGTCGGATACCTAAACCCGTCCAACGCGGAGCTGCCGGTGAAGAACGTCATCCTGCAGCGCTGCTTCGTCGATCTGGTCACCGGAGACCCGCGAACCAAGCAGCAGGCCGCCGCCCGGTTCGACGACATCGTGGGTCAGAACGACGCCGTGGGTGGAGGCGACGAGCAGCCGCTCCTCCTTCCGCGGAGGTTCAGGAAGCACCGGGCGTGGATGGAGCTGAAGAGACTGTGGAAGGCCAACGCGAAGGTCAAGGGTTTCGTGGCAGAGAAAGTGAGGGGAGGGTACACGGTGGGGATCGCGGGCTACCTTGCCTTTCTCCCCGGTTGGCAAGTTCAGCATAGGAGGTTGCTAAAAGATAGGTTTATCATCGAGAGCATTACTCCCAAGAGTATTGTGGTTGCAAAAGGCGGATAATTGGGCTATTTGCTCTTTTACCTTGGCTGATCCCTCTGGTATTTGAATTTTCCTCCTTCAACTTCGTTATTTGTTTGTACTCAAAATGAAATACCTATTTGATCTTTCTTTGTTGGAGTTTGATTTTCGCTCCGTGGATACAGTTTCCATTGCTACCTCTTGTCAGTTGGGGATGATTCATGAACATAATTCGTAGCTCGGATAATAGAAACGTGTTTGTTCTACAACGAATAAAATCAATATCAATCTGTTTTGGTGGCTTTAAATTACATATGGGTTGAGTTGGTTATTGAATATATTATGCCGAAAAAATGGTTTGTATGTTTACTTCTACTATGTCTGTTTGGGTTTAGGTTATTTTAGCGGGTTGTGAAATCTGTTTTCCTGTATGATTATACTAGAGAGTTCTAAGACAATGAGCAACAATGACAAGGACTTAATGGTGCTAGTCACAGGAAAATGATTAGTGAAGGTTCTGTTTTAGAACTTTACGGTCTTGGACCCTTCTAGAGGAGAAACTATTTCGCAACTTGTTGTAGTTTCCATTGCTTAAAATGGGGTTTTTTTTTTCCCTTTTGTTTTACAAGTTTCTGTGATCATTGTTAAATGTATCTTGATGGATTTTGCCTCTCTTTCTAAACATGCTGCTAGGGACTTGCTTATAGATTTATTATCTTCTTCTCATTTTTATGCTTGATTCCAAAATTAATGGCTTGTATATTAGGTGCCCTTCAGCTATTTTAGGTATCTATGGATCCTGCCATACTTGAATATCTTGTCTGGTTTATCAGGATGCGATGGCTCATTAGCCAAAAGGATTTTTCTGGAATGTTTTGTTCTTTCTCCCTTCTGTGTGTATTATTTTGGCAGGAATACAGGGGAATCTAATTCATTTATCTCAAAACCATATAGCACTCGTTTATAGAAACTGGTGCCCTTCTTCTATGATCATATTTTAGTGTGTCTGTCAACCTGGGCTCAGTGTTTTCCGGTGTGGATGTAATTTTGCGGCAAAATCTTTTAGCGTGTAGTTTTTTTAATTATTGTCGAAAGAATATAAAGGTTGTTTCGATTTATCTGACCCATGTATTACAGTAGGCATAGTGGAGTTCAACAAGACAAAGCTCACATCACACACTGCTGCTGCTAGATTGTTTAGGTTAACAACTCAAACGTCCTTAATTTAATGATAATTATAAATTATTAATTTTAATTTAAGTAGGAGTGTTGAATTCTTACTACTACTACCTTAAGCAAATTATAAATTGATAAATAGCCTTTTGAAGTATCTAAAACGAAACCAATTAATATATTCAAGCTGATCTGTTGAAGAATAATTGTTCATCCTTATTAAGCTCATGTGTTTGATACACCTCAATGAATACCTCAATTATGTCACAACTGTTCGATAATAATTGTTTGCAATGCAATATTTTTCTGAACACAAGTAGCCTTTCAAAGACGAAGTAGATTTGATTTTATTAATTTCATTTTGAAAGCAATTAATGTGCATCATTAACTTGTATAAACAGGCAATACTTTGGTCTTGTTTGGGCCTCATCTGTGTCATTAATTTGACATCACTCGTATAAGCTATTATGTTTAAAAAAAACCACGAATTAACAATAATAATTGCAGACATTACAGTGGTCTAAAAGCAACGCATTGACGAGAAACAATCAACACCACCATACCAGTGGTCTACAACCCTTCACATGGTTTGGGAAGTCAAATTTGCTGTTTGCATTACAAATATAATTGCAGACATTACAGTGATGGTCCACTTGGACAAAAATGACAACCACCACCACATCTTGAAAAAGTTTCATATAGGTAAAATAAAACAATTCAATGAAATAAAATAGAAGAAGAAGGCGAGAAAGGAACAAAGAAGGGAGAATAGGATATAATAAATTAATAATTCTACAGCAGATAGCAATATATTGTACTAGTTTATGATGAAGAAGAAACAGCCAAGGTTTTTCATTCTTGATGACATCACCTCATCGTCGACAAGATTATTTCAAACTTGCATAATTTCTGAGATTTCAATTTGGAATTCCAAATGCAAGAAAATGCAGAGACGTGCCTAATATGGAATTTTGGCAAGCCAGATCTCAGTGAAATGGAAAATAAGTAGCAGCACAAACACATAAGAAGATAAACAAAATAAACAAAAGACAAGACTAAAACACAACACAACAGCGCATAATGAAGGAAACACAAAAGCTGTAATTTTTGTACCGCAGAAAAGCAAATCAATCAATCATTCAAACATTACATTATCCTTGTGATTTTATTTCGCTACATATACATAAAGTAAAAAACTGTCAGAAAACAAAAACCCCCACAAAAAACAAACCTAACCAATCATCAATCAGCACACAAGGGAAATCCACTTCCTAACACAAACACTCCAAAATCAAATCAACAAGTGACCATCATTTACAATCTCAAGATCTTAACTTAACTCTCCGACATAAAATTGAAGGGTTGAGATTTTAGGTAGTGGAATTGAGGAGCATACAGTTGAAGATCCTTGAAAAAACGTTCCTCAATCGAGGATAAACCCTAAGGGTGTGAGCGCTGGATTCCTTCCACATACCTTCCATCGTCTCCACAAACAGATTGAAGCTCCTCATCGGCGGGATGTAAAGAGTCAACGGTACTGCTGAAAACGCCACCGCGAAGAACAAGTGCAGCATCTCTGATTCCGGCCAACAACCAAACAAAAAGCTAAGATTTCTAAATTTTGCTTTCTTTTATCTGAAAGCAGATAACTCTTTTCTGTATATAATATAATATAGTAATAAATTTTGAGTAGTTTGGGGGTGGAAAATGGATAAAGATTAGTTTTTTCTGGATTGATTTCTTTCAATAAGTATTTTGTAGTGATGAATAAATATGACTGTCTAATTTAGTGCTAAGGTTTAGGAGGATAAAGTGACCAGCCACAGCTCGTGTTGATTGATATATCCACGAATCTTTTAATACAAGGAAATTATTTTGTGGGGCCCTTTATGTCGAGAAATTTCTTGAATGTGCCCTTCGACATAATAATGCAAATATATTGTGAATTCGCCACTAAATATTGGATTCTGCGTAAATATTATCATAAATAATTAATTTATACAAATTACTTGAATATAGGCGTTATTAGTAGGGTGAGCAAAATCAAGTCGAAATCGAAAGACCGAGTCGAATCGTGCAATTCGATATGGTTCGGTTCGATTTTTAAGTGTAAAAAATCTTCAGTTCGGTTTTATCCTTCATTGCAGTGCAGTTATAGTTTTTCATGAGTTTGGTTCGGTGCGATTTTACAAAAAATTGATAAAAATCAAGCCGAACTGTGCATTTCAGTGCGGTTTGGTTTGGTTATTTTAGTGTAAAAAAAATTGGTTCGATTTCGGTTTGGTTTTTCTAAATTATGGCGCAGCTCGGTTATTTTTTTTTTTTGGAGTTCGGTTTTTTGATTTTTTGTGATTTGGTGCGGTTTTTCATCGAACCGCACCGTTGCTCACCCTAGTTATTAATATGGATTTAAAATGGTCATCATTGATGTATAATATTTCCTATATATACGACACCCTCTTTTCTTCTAGTTGCCCCAAAAAACTCACCACAATCTACATGAAACAAGTATTTCAATTATTTGATCGAACAATTTTCATACAAGGAAGACAACAAGGGAGATAATCGATGATGCATCCTTGACTGAGGCGAGAAGCAAGTTTCTAATGGAAAAGTTCAAAGTTTTGAATGGGAGGTTGGTGAGATTGATGACAAGGAATGCATGAGCAAACAATTGAGTAAAAGCAAAGGCCAAGAGACATTTCTTATATGCGACGCTGAGCCTATATGAACTAAAGGTTATGGAAAGTGCCTAAAGTCAAATAAAGAGAATGTCATATCTCAAAGTACTCAATTTTGTAGTTTGTGTGGACAGAGGGCCATGACAAGCGCAAATGTCCCTGTCATAACAATCACCTTGAAGATGATCCATATCATCAAACATGTCAAAAGTGACAAATTCCAGTTGCTCTGATATTTGATCTATTTATTTTAGTTGTACGTAATTTTTTAGATGATTGATTTTGTTTTTAATGAGACATTAAATTATTTTTGTTACCTCATAGTATTTTTGATTGTTGCTAAATTATCTGGAGTATTTCTTTATTTTTCCTTATTAATTTATTTAAATAGATTACAATGTATAGTTTTTGGAGTGTCTGAGGCTTTAATGAAAATCATTCTTTTCTTTTAACTTTCTTGTGGGCTAATTTGGTTTATGTTTACTTCTAGCTTTGTCAAATAGTTGCAGTGAATTATGCAACTGTAAAATTTAAGATAGGGGATATAGTGTTGGTTAGGAGAAGTACCAGGACTTAGCTCCAATGTACTACCGGAGAGCTGTCGCAACTATTATTGTCTATGATATCACAAACCAAGTAAGCATCAAGTGCTTAAAACACATGTTATATTTATATTAAATGAAATATCAGTCTTTGTATTATACCATGCTTTGAGAAATGGTCATCGATATATAACAGAATCATGTTTAAGTTGCCAATAATTCATCTTATTGAAAGTATTGAGGATTATTTCTTTTCAGTACATTAGTGGCAACATCAAATGATTATTCATTGTCCTTATCAAATTTGGTACTATTATGGTTGGTTTCTATAGGCCTGATTTTAAAGGGCCAAGAAATGGGTTCAAGAGCTTCAAGCACAAGGTACATAGTTATTTTCTTAGTCAGGAATGTTTGTTGCAATGGGGTTTCTACTTTTGGTAGTCTATAGGATAGTTTTCTGCTTGTTAAGTGTCTTGATGTTGCAACTGTCCTGTATTTTTTCACTTTACTAATGTAGATTTACAATTCATGGCCTATTCTTTCCATTTATTTTGTTATAGTGAACTTATATTTCAATGCTAATCACTGTTGTTTTCAAGCATAAGATAATCCATATGGTTATGGCACTTGTTGGGAATAAACAAAAAAATTGTTGGATGGAAGAAAAGTGGAAGCAGAGGCAAGCAATCTATCCTTTTTCCATCTTATGTGTATCTCTCACACTCTTGAACTTGTGCAATATCGCTTTTCATCCTTTTTTTCCATACTATTAATGTTGGTGCATATACTTAAAGCTTGGCTTTGGATGTTATTTACAATATTTCTGTTGAATGAGAATCGTGTTTGATTAAACAAGTTCTATGTTCTGTTATTTTGCATTTAGATAAAATAGTTCCTCCCAGGTAGACAGAAGATCATTTTATCTGTCACTTGCGAGACAAGAATGATTTGTTCGCAACCTAGATGAAAATGAAAAAAACCATCAGAACGGTTGTAGTGTCAACGGTACAGTTGGTCTTGACCGATTAGTTGCATTAGTACATTCGTGTATTGAACTGGATCCCAGAAAGGAGCAGTTCGTTTTATACTGATCGTCGTAAACGAACTAGGTATCAGTTAATTACTGCATTCTCTTAACCCATAAGATATAAACAAACACATGCATACAGTGGCTGCTTCTTTAGATTCACCAAATGCAAGATCCATTCTATTGGGTCAATAGTTTTCGTGTTTTGGGTAGTAGTGTTTTGTGTATGGTGTGTTGTTCAAATATTTACGGTCACCATGTGCGTTGGTTTGATGATGTCCCCGAAGTGAGCTCATGAAGGATTATTATGTTAAACCTTGCAGGTAGATAAAGTTTGATATAGTAATAGTAATGATTTGAGTGGTACTAGCTTCGGTTCAAGATGCCGGTTTGATTGTTAATAATTGAATTAATTAATGGACATTACATCTTAAACGTGGGGAGGTAATTCAAGTAATTATAATTGGAGTCTCAAATATAATTCGTGGATGATGAAGGAGTGCAATAATGTTTTGTTAATAGACCGAAACATTATTTAAGTCATTGAGCGGAGTGAGCTTGGCCGACAGTTAGACCCAAGACTCAAGAAGCCCATATCATCACCTCTTTATGGGCCCTGCTATAGCCCTATAAATTCACCATGTATCTCTTGTGATTAGACACAACTCACGCATAATACACACACGGGTTGGTCGGCCCTAGGTCTTGAGAGATCATCTCCGAGCTTGTTGCCCACCAAGACAACCGGAGAGGTGTCGAGTCATACGGCAAAAGCCCCCGAGGTTTACGAGACCTCCCGACGAGCCACCGTACGCAACCGCACCCGAGCGCCCCTCGTCCGAGACCAGCGTGATCTACTCGTACCTCAGCCCCGACGACTACTGCGCAAAAGCGCCAGCTCCCGCATGCTGTAGACCCTTGACTTTCTCCGTGAGCCCCAGCGACCCGCTCCTGCATGCCGCAGACCCATGAGGATATCGCTACCTGCAGCAGCCCGCGAGCACCGCATCCGCACAACCTGCGCGAGACAGGCCTCGTCTGACCTTGCGACGTTCCCGATGACTCCAAGACATCCGAACGAGGCAATTTCTAGCGAGTGAAAATAAAATGATCTCCACCAACAAATCTACAACATATCAGAGTCTATAATTTTTAAGCCGCAAGTGTTCAACTTTAAACTTTAGAATCCGTTGCGCAATAGGTATATTGTTGTTGTTTAATTCGTGACTTGCACTGAGCGAGATCTTTACCGATCCCAACAATTAACTATTAAGTTTGTCTTGCTATTCAATTTTTTTCTTGAAAGTGCAATCTAATTTCCTTTTATGAAGTTGATAAATCATAGAAAGATAGTAGCTAAGGGTATCACAAGTTCTATTTGGATTGAGGGAGACTTTCACTAAAAGATAATGCAACTATATTGGTTTCTATTTTGGGAGGACAAAATTAAGTTGTGAAATGATACGCTTAGTTTATATTGCATGCTTTGTATTATTAATATTTTTCTCATTATTATTATCATTACAGGAAGCACAAACTTATGCCTAGGAGAATGGTCTATTCTTCATGAAAACTTCAGCAAATACAACAATAAATGTTAATGATGTATTTTATGAGATAGCCAGAGTCTCATGTTGCGCTTAAGGGTTTCTGCAGACTTTTCAAAAAATCCAAAAAAAAAAGGATGAAAAAAAAGCAAAATTGAACTAAGTGTAGTAAGTTAAATTTGCGAGCATAAAATACTTCGTTACAACTCTTGCGTACTCGTTGGATTGCCAAAATTTGTACATGAGTTGATTTTTATTTATGTATTTCGCATTGGTTGAAGCCTTGAAGGACATGTACAATTTCACTGTGTTTTGCTATTTGTTATTGGACTTTTATTACTTTTATCAATTTCTATAATTTTTTTGTTGCATTTTATTTCTTGCAACGAACTCCAATATATGAGTCGTCTCAGACCGTTAACACTAGTACTCATTTAGTCTCATTGGTATTGTTTTCTGCTTTTGGAACGTGATGATTAAGAATGATGATAGATAGATAGATAGATATCACAAAGCTATATACCAACCATTGACTATAAATACATTTGAGCATGTTTCATCAAAGTGTGAAACATAATATACATCCTAAAAGTATAATTAGACATCCTATATCATATTAACCTCGACCACATTGTACACAAAGAATTGAGCCTAATGATCATTCCAAAACAACATAAATTGTATATAATAATAACACAAACAAATACACGTGAACAATAGCAATGAACTAAGTATCCCAAATAATAATAACAACAATCACCCCAACCTCCACCAGGACAACCATAAACCTATACCCTGGAGTGTTGAATGAGACCTCCTTCTCAGGCTTGTACCCCTTGGACAACAAATGATTGATATAAACATAGATAAACACCCCAAAAGCCACACCCATTGACACCGCATATGTTTAATCGGCAACTGGGCCCTGATTCGTGGCATCTATTATAATGCCAATAGCCACCCCAATTAGACTCGATAGAATATTCTTTTGAGTTTAAAAAATAATTTTTCGATTGAAGAATAATTACTGTTTGATGTGACAGGTAGTACAAATGGATTTGAGAACGAGTTTTTCGGTGGCCTAACTAGATCGAAAAATAGAATCCAAAATTTCAAATAGTTTTCTGTAGCTAGTGAGTTTGCAAACAATCGAAAATTCTCTCTCTACCCGTCTCCAAAATCCCCAAATCAGAAAGGAAAAAAACCTTGGTCGTGCAGTGCCTCCTCTTCAGCGGGGGCTACTCCCTCTGACATCGGCCGACATCTAGACAAACTCTCAGTCATGCGGTATTTTTTCCCGACGGACTTTCAATTTTTCTCTTCCGCATGGTCTCTCCCTACTTTCTTCAGGAGCCATTGCGATGTAGGTGGGAAGGCCAACGTATCGTTGATGCTTCACTGCAACTGACGCCGACTGTTTTGTTGTGGTTGTCGGGGTTGGCGCCGATGCTTCACTTCCGGTGGGGGGCGCTTGTTTTGGGCTAAGATTGCTAGTTTGGTGGTGGCGGACAACTGTGTTGCAGAATTCCTGGGATTGTCCGTGGTGGTGATCTTCGGGTTGGTTTTGGGTCCGTAGCTCAAGGCCGAGTTAGACATAGAGAGAGTTTCTTGATTCGGCATTGGGCCGTGAGTTGTTTAGATGTCCCGTTTGTTGCTTGCCTTAAGTGCTGGCTCGAGTAGTGCGGTTTGTGGTGGTTCTCCACTGGTGGGGAGATATTCACTCTAGTTATTAGTGTTTTTTTTTTATTTTTTTTATTTTTTTATTTTTTTTATGCTTTGTATGTTTATGTGTCCTTATTCTCCTGTTTGGACGATTTTATTCTCCTTTTTGGGAGTTTTTATTCTCTATTTGTTAGAATTTTTAGTTTATAATTTTTTGTTTTGTTCTGTGCGTTCTAGGTTGATTCTAGGCTACCAGTGGTGTAGTCCTCCCAACCAGATTCAGATGGGTCGCTAATTTATTTGACTATTTAGCTAATTTAATTATATGAATAATATTAAAGATGGTGGAGTTGGGTTGAAGTTGAGTTAGATTTTGAGTATGAATTGAATGAGAATTAAATAATTTATAAACAAGCATGTCCTAAACTTTTTAATTTCATAATTTTAGTTTTCTTTATTACTTTTCACTATATTTATTACTTTTCACTATATTAAATTATTATTGATATTATCTTAGAGTGTGATTGAATATAACCTTCACCTTTAAAAAAAACCAATCAAAATTTAAATTTAACTCAATTTTAACTTAATTCACTATTCTTAATATTAATATAATTAACTAATATTAACCAATTATTCTTACACATCACATTAACTTTAATTCACTTTTCATCAACTCATATAATTTTAACTAATCACCATTTTTAATTATTTTTCTCATATTCTTACATCAGGTTAACTTCAATTATTTTATTTTAAATATTATACTAATTTAAACTTAAATTTCCACGAACAACTAACTATATCACTTTTCTCTTAAATTAACTATGGTTAATAAAAAAATCAATCAATTGAAACTGAAGGGTCTTTTCCTCCCAAACTCCAAATTTCGAAAATTCTGCTCATAATGGCTGACGGCTCCATAGTCGAAGCTCGAGGCACAACAACTCCGGAATAAGAATAGAAAGCTATTCCTTCTCTTCCTATCCATTTCTTCTCCACCAATGGCGAGGAAGAGAGAGAGAGTTCCGGAGGTCCTCTGGAGATTGTTTCGCACCCGTGCTCGGCCGCTAGTCGACACCATCCTTGCCTTAATACCTCCGCCGGCGGACGCCGAGTGCCGCTGCCCGCTTGGCCGCTGCCTCGCCTGCAGCGGCGATGAAGCCATGTCGTTCCTCGTCGGACCTGGCGACTCCGCTGACTACCGTAAGCTCCTGACGGGATGCTTCGTCGTTGTTTCCGAAAATGCCCCTCCCATTCCTCCCGTCTTCGACCCTCACTGCCGCTGGTCGCAACGCGAGGTACGTATCCCTCTGCCTGTCTCTCTGTGTGTGCGCGTGTGGTCAGGCTGATGTACGTGTTCTTTTGGCGGGAATTTGGAATTTTCGTAATTCGTGTGGTTCTTTGGAGAAAAAGAGTATTCGTCAGCAAATGGTGTTGGTTTGAGTTGTGAATGTATGGTTGACGGGACATCTGTTAATCGCAAGTTTCAACAGCTCATCTATTGGCTTCTGCTTGGATGCTTTCGGTTTTACCATTAGAATTGCATTCTCCAACTGTCTTAGATTCAACTCACCATTTCGGAGTGCCTATGCTTCAATATCTAGTCCTCTAGACCTAGTGATGTAGAAACTCGAGACCGGCTAGGTTATTATCTCCAGATATTTTATGGTTTCCTCAAAATTACCTCTTTAGTTATGATACTGGGTTGCAATGCTACTTATACAGACAATGGTTCTTCGTTTTGTATGATTTTCTACGTGAAGGTTAGCATTGTTTCTTTTAAGATAAGAGCAGGGAACATATGCTAGCATACTTCAAGACTGAAATTTGATTAATATATAATATTATGCCATTGTTTCACAAGAATAATGTATGTCATTCTATCTGAGTTGAAATTAGTCCTTTCTGTGCTTTCAGATTGTCAGAAGATCCATTGAAATGATAATGCAAGAACAAGCGTCCTCTTTGAATCTGATCTGCTGCAGTTATGATAAAGTTAGTGTTATTATCGACCATTTACTTGAGGGCTAATTTTATCTAGCGCCGGAGTTTCATTTGTCACATTTTAATTCGATTTAATTCCATTTATTTAGATGTCTCATGGTTATACATTTACTCATCTTATTTTAAGACATAAGTTATCCTCATGAATATTATTTTATATAAAGGTTATTGATTTTTCTTACAGAGCAGCCGCTCAAGTGCCGTGGTTGACACGTTGACCTCTTTAAAGTGGTCTATCCTACTAAAGAGGGTGGGTAGAAGTGGTGGCTTCTGTTAGTTTCATTCATCTATTAGCAGTTATGCATATTGAACATGATCAACATTTCAATGCAATTTTTAGGTTGGTGATGCTCTAATGATGTATTTGTTGAAGTACACTTCAATATTTCTACCACTGCGACACAAGAAGTTTTATCAGATTGTTGGTTTCCCTATCAGTGATTTGTGCGGTAAAATCTCAAGGCGCACGCCAGACTCCAAATCTCAGCTTTGTTCACATGTTTCTGAAGGTAATATTCAGTGACAATTTTGTTGTGAGAAGGAATATAACACCCATTTGACCCAATATTTTCTGTTTCACATGGATCAAGAAATCCTTTCGGTATATATTGTCATTTGCTTATGTCTACAGCTTTATCTGGTTGCCCTTCATTTTCCTTGCACATTTGATTAGGTGGTTGGATCTTTAAGCATTAGACCTTTGTCACAATGCTAAAAATTATTTAAGATTTTGATTACATCCACATTGACTTCTCCCAGGATCTAGGAAAAAGACGAAAAGGGTTGAAGGAATTGAGCCAGCCACAGGGAAAGAGCTATCGACACTTTCTCCGAATTTGGAGCCTTCTTCAAACCCAATTACGATTTTTGCAGGTAATGGTGAGGATAACCTCACACTCCTTCGAAGAGATAGATACTTGTGAGGAAAAAACTCTTGTAAGAAATCTACTGAAGAGGCCACAATGCCTGCAGGTTCTTGTTTTTCTCAAGAAGAATCTCCTCACAACAAACGTGAGAGAAGTTTGAAAGAAGATACTGCTAGACCTAAGAAGCGTAAGAGAGAATTCAGTTGGCAGAGGCAAAGGAAACATAAGCAGTTGGTTGTTCAAGAAAAGCAATCTTTGATTCCGTATGGAGAAAATTGTTGCAACACTGATAACTTATCCAGTGGGCTCCTGAAAGATGAGCGTGCAAGTTCATGTCAGACTCGTGTGGCTGTAAGTATGATGAGTTTGGTTTTAATGAACTGTAAATTGTTTTCTCGTCCTTCATTTTGTTAAACCTGTCAATAATATTCTGTTTGTTGGTGTGGGGCTAATATAATTTGGTCTGAATGAGCGCTATGGCTATGAGCCCAAAAATGTTTCCATGTGTTGCACGTTGTCAGTTTATAACAAATTGGTAAAACTTATGATTTTGTCTGCAATTGCTTAATAAACACTCAAGTGTAAGGACATCATATTTAATTGTGAAGTCATTATCATTTAGTATTCTTCATTGTGACGTCAGTTGTTTGGTTGACTATATTGTGACGAACTGATGAATTAAGACCTCCAGGTCCAAGTTGGTGAGGTTCCCAGTATTTTTTTCTCTATTCATGTTCTTTACTGTGTGATTTATGTATTGTAGATCGAGGCAAGCTGCTTTCATTAGAGCAGCTATCACTTCTGTGCTAGATAATGTCGTTTTTCATTCACAAATATGGCATACATGTATTACTTTATGAAATTTATGGTGTATTCAATTCAGGAGGATACCATTTGAATTTAGAAACAAAAGAACTGTCAAAAGGTAACCCGGTCCCTATTTTCTACCAATTCCCGGAGGATGAAAAGTAATGATGATGACAAAATTTCACACATAAATATGTAACTTCACTTGTCAGTGATTCGATGTCAATCCTGTATGCAATCCCCTTTGTTTCTTATTATTTAAACACTTTCGGTATAATAATATGGTTTGTGGTCTTTTCATTTGCAGATCAATTCTCGTTGCTTTTGTTGTTCAGTTTTCCAAAATGCACCAAAGATGAAGCGAAACGCTGAGATTGCTAGACAAAACATATTTTATAAGTTAGAAGATTCTACATCAATGCTGCCAAGGAAACGTATCCTCATTGGTATCTATCTATTTCTGCTTACCCGTATTTTGTTGTGGAAAATATTATTTTGATTGTCCTACCAACTATTGAGGAAGTGACAACTTCAATATTTTCTGTACTCCAGCCTTAACATTGAACAGACATACTGTACACTGTAAAGCCCAATGGCTGTGGAGCTTCTGTCCTGTTCAATAATATATTCAGATCATTTGGCATGAATAATCATCCTGGGATTACGCCATGTCTTCACAGAAAAGATAATTGCCCCGTTTTATCCACCTGTTTGTAAGCAACAGCATGAATTTATATATTCTAGATATCCCCATGGTTCAAGTTAAGTTCAATATGTCTGTATCTGTAAATTGTCTTTTCATAATATGATATTTTCGTAACATATTTTCGATTGGTTCTTTCCTTTTCTAGTTTATTTACTTTCACTAACAAACTACTAATTTGTTTGAAGGGGCAATTTGCTCATTTGAAGGCGCTTCCTTTGATCTAGTATAAACTTGACAATGTATGAGAACAGATTACATGTGGCTGCCAAATTTTATTCTCGGTTTGAGAGTAAAAAATTCTTATCAACTATTTTCTGTGGTCCTTAAGAAAATAAGAATCAAAAGTAGTTCTCTGATGGGATTGGTTTCTGTTGCCTATGGTCTTTTGATTTGGTGGAAGTTATACAATCATAGGCTTCTATCTTGGTTATTTAAACTGTAGGAATAGGATATAACATTTCGCTAGAGAAATATTGGGGGATCCGTTAGTAGAAGACAAGCTTCATGATTGCACTTATTCCACAAACATGCTTATGATACTTTTTTCCTTTCGTAGTTTAGCTCACAAACGCTGGTAAAAATTCTTATGCATATGTTTCTTCTATCTTGGTTATTTAAACTGTGAGAATAGGATATAACATTTCTGTAGAGGAGAAATGTTAGGGGGGGTCAGCTAGTAGAAGAAAAGCTTCATGATTGAACTTATTCCACATACATGCTTATGAAACTTTTTTTCTTTTTTTTTTTTCCTTTCGTAGTTTAGCTCACAAACGCTGGTAAAAATTCTTATACATATGTTGCTGCATAAGTTTTTAACACTTTGTCCTTGATGTCTAGATATCATTCCCTGACTAAGCTACTCAAAAATCTCATTCGTGAGACTCAAAATTGCCGATATTTGAAGCTTTTAGACAAGCACTGTCCTATGGGATCCTCATATGAAGACACGAATAGGGATACGAGCACTAGGTTTAAGGTTGGTGTTTATTTTGTGAGGACATTTACTTTGTTTCACAGTGAAGACAACTACACTGAGTAAATCGGATTATTTTATCCTTCTATAATTTGAAGTTGACCCTCTTGATTATTTTTGATGTTAATGAATTTATCTGCATCTGCGTAAGTGTGGATTTGGATAACTACTATTGTCATATTCCAGTCTTTTATTTCTTTCTGGTCATAGTAAAAACATGTCAAATAAAATGCTTGAAGAAGTTTTATCCTGTAGATCAAAGAGAACTGAATCCAATTGTCACTTTATATACATTGTAGCAGTTTTCTGCTCGCTTGGTGTCTAATCCTCTATTTTCTGGAACTTAAGTTGAGGTTGTTAGGATGATATCTTGCTCTAATGCTCTTAAATTTATGTGTCCAGGGAAATAACCCACGGTCAATCTTATCTATGAGAAAACAGAATGGGGTTCAACCTGATGGAAACTGGTTTAGTGTTTCTAATGCCAAAAATAGCAGGATGACACATTTTGATATCGATCAGAAAGAGCGGGTTGAATATCGCTGTCCCAAAAAACAGGTGGTATCATTTGTATGGGCAATTTGTCGGAGAATAGTCCCCGTGCCTTTGCTTGGAGAACCTTCTAACTGGAGGGTTTTGCGGAAAAACATCTCAAGATTTATCCAGCTGCGAAAATTTGAGAAATTCTCCTTAAAGGAATGCATCTATAAATTAAAAATATCAAAATTTCCTTTATTGTCAGTTAAACACGTTGGGGATAGGCTCAATGGATGCAGTCAGCTTGGTATCACAGATGTTGCTCGACATGCAATTTTTCAATGCTGGATGTTTTGGTTTTTTTCATGTCTAGTGTCACCATTGGTTCAGGCTCACTTTTATGTCACTGAAAGCGAGCATGGAAAACAAGAGGTACAATATTACCGAAAATCCACTTGGGTGAAACTGATAAAAGAAGCTGAATGCTTGAAGGACGGGAGGTTCTGCCAGCTGGATCACACATCTGTTGAGAAAATAATCAGGAACAGATCATTTGGTTTCTCCAGGGCCAGACTTCGTCCCAAGCTAAATGGATTCCGAATGCTGACAAATCTTCAAGCACCATCAAGAATGAGTGTGGACCCTCCAAGAAATCCCTCCAATCAAAAGCTGTTGAGACTAGCATTGCCTGACCGTAGGGCAAAGTGTCGGTTTTTCAAGTCTGTGAACAGCATCCTTCAGGATCTGCACGTGGTTTTAAAAGGTTTATGGATAAAGGAACCAGTGAAGTTGGGTTCATCAGTTTTTGATTACAATGACGTCTACCGAAAGCTAGTGCCTTTCTTATTTCATTTAAAAAATGGGTCGACTAGAATGCCTAGCATGTTCCTTGTGGTTTCAGACGTGTCAAAAGCTTTTGACTCCATTGATCAAGATAAACTGCTCAGTGTGATGAATGATGTTGTATTGGAAAATGAGTATGATTTGGAGAAATTTACTCAGGTTATCTGCACAAAGAAATCTTTGAAGGTCCACCTGCATGTGACTTTAGCAAATGGAGATAATATTGGCGAGTTCGGTAAAATCACTCCACGACTCCCTGCCCAGGCATTGGATTCTGTTCTTATTAAAAAGGTACCTATGTTCTTTTTTATTGAAAATGGGATCATATCCAGTTGCTCCCTTTGACTTTTCTGCAATCTTCTATAGTTTTTACCGTTTTTTATTGTGTTTCAGCATGAAGCATGTTATCTGACCTGTTCCTGTGTTTTAGTTATGGGAGATCGGCAAAAGATAATTACCTTTCTTTGTAGATCTTATTTCATTGAACTTAGATTTTTATATTCAGGTCAATTCGATGAAACTAAGAAGCTCAATATTTTTGTTTCTGAAAAAGTTTGAAAGTTGTCATGGCAATATAAGCCAAAGTTAATTTCCTGATTATGTTGCATAATATATCTTTTCATCATAGAAGCTTAAGCAGATAACGACAGAGAATGAATTAATTTTAATTGTATTTGATCTTATAGTGAGCTTATTTGAGCCAATTTATTGGAACTGCCAAGTGCAACAGGTCTAGGTACTTGGTCTTTATTGAATGGCTGTGCAACTAGAGTATCTTGTACCAAAAATTGTTTCCGTTTTGTTATTTTATCATTTTTTTTTTCTTATTTCTGTATGTGACGTATTCTTACGTATTCCGTTTCAGGGACTGAGCAGAAACATAAGGAAAGATAAAATCCTTGGAATTCTAAAAGAGCACATTACGCGCAATGTAGTTCAACTCCACAATAACTTTTTTCTGCAAAACGTCGGCATACCTCAAGGCAGTGTCTTGTCTTCTTTGCTCTGTTCATTCTATTATGGACACATGGAGAGGAATGTGGTATTTCCATTTCTCGAGAAAGTCACCGAGGGCCCATCTGGAGAACTCGATACTTCTGGCATTTCTGTTTCAAAAGGAATTCTTTCCAAAAGAGCTGCCACATGTGGACCTTCATACCTTCTGCTTAGGTTCATTGACGACTTCCTCTTCGTATCAACTTCAAAAAGGCAGGCTTCAATGTTCTTCTACCAGCTGGGATGTGGAGTTCGTGAATACAACTGCTCCATGAATGAGGAGAAATACGGTTTAAACTTTGACATTAATGGTAGTCAACAATGCCGATCAAACAGGCTGCACGTCGGTAAAGATGGTGTTTCATACCTCCGATGGAGTGGGCTGCTCGTTAATTGCTCCACATTAGAAATTCAAGCGGACTACACAAGGTTATATTTGCCTTCTGTCAGTTATTCCAGTTTCTGATTCTTTTATAAGTAACCTAATCTTCGTTGTCATATACCTTTGCATGTCTGTTTTAGCCAAACTTAACAGAAGCTTCTATCTATGCACCGCATGATATGCTGAATATTTCTTTTGGATTCTTTTGATATTCTTTCTCCCAAATCTAATGAACCTTAAATAAATAGTAATTTTAAATTCTGATTCAAATTGATATGATAGAAAAAGATCAAACTATTGGTAGCAATTAGAANTGATAAAAAATATGAGAGATATAGTGTATCACGTATAGTTAAAAAATGTTTTGTTACCATCACAATGTCAGTAAAAAAAATTCTTCGGCCAAACGAAACTACCCCAACTTACTATCACCGTGACTTTTGCTCCAGTCTCTTCCTTTTGTTCTGTTTTGTTTTGTTTTATTTTGTTTTGTTTTGTTTGTTTTATTTTGAGCCCCTTTTTGTGTTTCTCTTACCATTGGTTCTCTTGGGTTTCATCTCTAGCCTACCCCAACTTGCTTGGGACTAAAAGGCTATGTTGTTGTTGTTGTTATTGTTGGCCAAACGAAACTACAATTTCTCTCTATCCAATATTCTATAATTTTCTTCTCACTTGAAACTTTAGCCTTACAGGTATCAGAGTACTCATTTGAGCTCCACTCTAACCGTAAGCTGCCGAGGACAAGTAGGCCAACAGCTGAAGTCAAAGCTTCGTTGTTACCTGCGGCCTAAATGCCACCCTATATTCTACAATTCTAACATCAATTCCCCTAGAGTTGTCAGACTCAATATCTATCAAGTATTTCTGCTTTGTGCCATGAAATTCGTATGTTATGTTAAAAACTTGTCAATTCTACCAAGGCTCAGTCCACAATTCCACTTTAATGCCATTGACTCGTCTTTGAGGTACCAAATTCAAAAATTACTGAATTCTCTAATCTACATTCTTACATCTTCATTTGTCTAAACACAGACTTCCGTTTCACTGATTTCCAGGTACATGAACCGGCTCATAAAAAAAAAGATGTATTCTTTTGACATTGAAACTGCCTTTCGTCCTAAATACAATGTGAAAAAGAAGGAAATTGTGTGGCTTGGACTGTACGCCTACTGTCGGGTGCTCGGGAAAAAGCAATCAGGGTACAAGGAGTTGCTTTCTTTGTTGAGGTCTAAGTTGAAGTCTTATGGGAAGGTAAAAAACATGTCGACCCAGCTCAAGTATGCCATTGATGATGCACATTCATCAGTACTTTGGAGCATCAAGTATTGAATTGAATGTCTGCTTTGCTTTTGTGATCGCTACTAGCAATTGCTTTTTGTGTAGCAAAAACTGTGAATTTCAAGAGGATTATATTTGTTTTTGCCTGGGCCGTGGGCGGGTACATACACTTTTCGGCCCATGATGGAAACGTGAAAATGAGATTTTCTGTCACAGAATTATGTCGTTCATCTACGAATTTCTTTTCATTTGCACATTTACGATGTTTTCTTTTTAATTATAAATATATATTTTCATTGTCTATGAATGATTGGTTTATGATTTATTTTTTTCATTCTTTTATTTTGAATGTTGTATCTTTGCAAAATTTTCAAAATGTATAGTAAACATGTAAAACAGTTTTCGTTAACACATGCATTAATCATCATTAGAAGTTGTAATATATAGATAAGGAAGACTAAAAGCGTATACCTCAAAATATGAACTACATAAAGACAAAATAAAATTATCCAATCCAAAACAATTTAATTTGAAAAGTTTTGGAAGTAATTTTTTTATTGGATTTGATTTATTCGGGGATAGTGAGTTAAAAATTGAATAAAAAAAATATTATTGAGCAAATTTGGATTTAATTTTGAGCGATAAATATGAGTAAAAACATATAATGAAGATAAATATGAGTAAAAACATATAATGAAGATTTATATGAAATGCTGACTGAGAATTCCCAAATGAAAAGTAAGAAAGAGGACTCCTTTGAAGATTTATATGAAATGCTGAGTGACAATTCTCAAATGATGAGTAAGGAAAAGATTTGTGAACGAAACTGCACCATCTCCCCATTCTTTTAATGATACCATTCATTCCAAGTTAGCCACATTTGTGGAGGAGCTCAAATATTTCCTATTAATGGATTCAAAGTCGACACAAGTAGCCATGATAGAGATGTGTGGGAGTTGAGGTGGCATGGGGATGCCGCTTGGGAATGTCCCCAGTTTGTCGAGCCCACATTCAATCTAAACTTTGAAGGGGTGCAATGTGATGTGAATGCGTTGCAAGGGTATCCTCTCTAGAGTCAAAATAATCTGTATTCGAACACTTACAATCTCGGGAGATGCAATCATCCAAACTTCTCATGGGGCAAACCAAAGGGAACGTACGGACCACCACTTCAACCACCTAGAGAGGACTTCCCACCTCAAAACCGAGGGAATTTCCAACCTTGCCCTGAGTTCCAATGATATCAACAAAGGCATGAGTTCAATCATTCGCGGGGAGGGTTTGTTCTGAGAAACCCCCTTCCACCTCCACAAGAACCGGTCAAGGAGCCTTAGCAAGACTAGACGAACGTGCGTTTACACAACACGGGGAAAGTATCTCCAATGTCTTGCTACTACTGTGTCTACTTTGCACGGTACTGTCAAAGGAGTGCCATCCATTCAAGTTTCCCTCAAATGTCTTGAAGATCAAATGGGGAAACTAGGAACGTCCATAAGTGAAATTCAAAGAATCAATAAAAAGGATCGACTCCCTAGGCAAGTGGAATAAGCTCAAGTAATCACGATGTAAAAGAGTAGGAAAGTGGTGGATAATCGAGTAGAGATGCCCAAAAAGAGGGTAGTTGATGAAGTTGACAATGAGGAGGATGAGGTTGAATGGAACAAAGTGGTAGAGGCAATGAAAGGTAAGGAAGTGATGGCCGAGAAGGAGAACACGGTAAAGTTAAACATCGACGAACATGAAACTCCATTTTCCAAAGGTAAATATGAACTTACCTCTTCTTGATGTCATTCAGGATGTTCCGGCATATGTTCCATTTTTCAAAGAGTTGGTGTACGAGGAAGAGGTTTGAAGACAATGAAAAGGTTTTGATATCAGAGGTTGCATTGACAACAATCCCTCAACAAGAGTGCGGCCTCAGTGGCTTTGTTAGCAAGATCAGAATGGGGAATGGGAAAGAGACAACCACCATGCTCGATTTTGGCGATAGTATAAATCTTATGTCGTACTCAATTTTTATGCAACTCGGGTTAGGTGAATTGAAGATGACACATATGTGTCTCCAATTGGCGGATGATCATTGCACTATCCAAAAGAAAGCATTGAAGATATTTTGATTTTAGTAGAAAGCCTCATAGTTCCGATGGCTTTTGTAGTTCTTTATGTTGGAAAGGTGCCAAACACCGGGAATGATCATACAATCCTCCTTGTCCGTCCATTCATGGCCACGACAAACACTCTCATCAATGTCAGGGATGGTTGTGTGACTCTGTCGGTCTTAGGAGATACGATCAACTTCTCCATGAACGATGCTATGATTTAGAATTTTACGTTCGACCAATATTCGTATGTTAATATGTTTGAATAATTTCACAACCTATTTCATGCTGATATTTCTTGTGATTGAAATGTGTCCCTTGATGAAGAGGAGGATCTCGACCCTGAAGAGGAGGGAATTGTGGATCTATTCAAACTTTCAAAAGAACCCGAGCCTCGAGCTATGACCACCCAGTTAAAGGCTCTTCCTTCACATCTAAAGTATGCTTTCTTGAATAAGGAGATAAGTAACCCACTATCATTTATTCGGGACTTTCTCAAGAGGAAAAAGGTTCTCTAGTGGATGTGCCCAAGGAAAACAAAGAGGCTCTCGCGTAGAATTTGAGTGATATAAAGGGGATAAGTTCGGCTACGTGTATATGTATATGTGTGTGTATATGTATATATATATGATCTACCTTTATAAGTAAAAAATAAGTTTAGATAAATTCTATAAATTTATCAATCTCGCAATTATACCTGACTCTAACACCTCTAGTGTGCTCCAGAAAATATGGATATTGTAGACAGTGATCGGCTCTACAAAAGTTTGTGCCACCCTTAGCTCACAGGTACAAGGAAGTCCATGAGTGGATCTCAGTGCACAGCCGCATAACGAGTCAACCTCATTGCTCAATTGTCGCATTCGTTGAAGCTCTTTATTCAATAAATTCAGACAGTGATGCGAGACACGCAATGTTAAGTCTACGAATGGGAATCCCGTGTACATCACAGCTTTCTTACGTCTTGAATACTCTAGCGTGTACCTGATAATACATTACATAACATTAGACCCAATGAAATTCACAATTAATGCAGTAATAGAACAATAAATATGTGTAGCTTAATAAATGTACCTGACTTGTGTCAGTTGAGACTCAATTTCCTTAATAACCTTCTTCCACACTGTATCAAGCAAACCGGTCGACGTGTTAAGCCACTGCTTTAATACAACGTGGGCACTGTCCACCCTACACGAGGTTGTGTTACCAAAATGTGTTACCATGTTCGTCCTTACTTTGACAAACTTTTTTTGTGGACTAACCATGTGTGCTCCACATATTGCAACACTTTCTGAAACCTCGCGTACCAACCATACATTTCAGCTACTACAGTGTGGTATTGATGCTTTGTTTCCGCTTCAACAACTTCTTTCCACCTGTCGTGCGCAAACTTCTGAAGGATTTCACTATTTTTTTTCCAAGGAGTCGATAGACTATGTCTTCCACATCCTTATTGATGTGCCGCATACAAAGTAAGTGGACAGATTCTGGAAAATCCTCCGAATAGGAGTCATTATACTCAACTCCATGTCAGTGACAATGGCTGTAAGATGTACATCATACCCTATAAGATGTCTCAACATCTGTAGAACCCACTCATAGCTGTACTCACTCTCGTCGTTGATAATTGCATATACAACTAAGAAGTTCTTATCGTACGATGTCATCCCAACAATTTCCACCAACGACATCTGGTACATGTGTAAATGAGAGCAACAAGAGAAAACATAGAATCAAAAAACTTACTCAAACATACTAATTAAAGATTTATACTAATTTGTTATTTATAAAGTAACATACATGTTGGTTTTGTACGTCGAATCTATACCGATGTACCAGTAATATGTCCGGAATAGGTTCACTGCTTGAGGATGCGACATAAACAGATGTGTCAATGCCTGTGTCTCCTCATCAACATCTGTATAAACTATATAATTGCTCTCCAAAGCTAAATGCAGAATCTGGGTAGTCACATCTCTACCCTCAAAACTATCTCTCAGCAATTGATATCTATAGTTATACACATGCCGCCGATTAGCATTGTCTTTAGGGTTTTTTTCTTGGATCGCGCCAAAATCACTGTCGATTTTGCCTGAGCAGCAGTCATATCACGGACAATATCTTTAGATGAAGCGCTAAGTCCGCTCATCTTGTCGATAACCCTCAAGATATACAGTCAATGGATGATTATGCATTCACCTATCACCATCAATACTTACACGGATTATCGAAGATGTAGATCGTGCCACCTGTTAGACTGCTATCCGAAAATGACAATTGCACGCTTTAGTCTTTGAACGTCAGACAGCAGCTCGATCTAAATATCCTAAACTGCCTCTGTAATGTTCACCTCGCGAACACCTCAACACCTTCATCTTCCATCTTTTGTGTGTGAAGAAATAACCAACTCAAAAACATATATAATTGTTATTTCTTTTGTCCATGTAATAGCTTCTGCATCACTACAAAATACTTCCTCCGTAATGTAAACAGAACTCTAATCAGTACCGTCCCCTCCAAAATTTTTGAAGACAACTGCAAAATATTACTATGTTAATAATTTTACAAGATAATCAATTCTAATTTATAACATAAAAATTTTTAAGTTCTAACATAATAATAATAATAATAATAATAATAATAATAATAATAATAATAATAAATTCTAATTTATAAGATAATCAATTCTAATTTATAACATAATAATTTGTAATTTCTAATATAATAATAATAAATTCTAATTTATAACATAAAAATTCAAGTTCTAACATAATAATAATAAATTCGTATTTATAAGATAATAAATTCTAATTTATAACATAATAATTTCTATGTTCTAACATAGTAATAATAAATTCTAATTTATAACAGAATCAATTCTAATTTATAACATAAATATTTCTACTTTATAATTTGTTTAATAAATAAAAATTAACTAAAAAAAACGTCCGGCTGGCGAAAGCTGTGCGCAGTCGTGGTCGAACGGCGAGGCCGGCCGAGCATGGTCATGGTTGGCTGCATATTGCGGCCGCCAATGGTCATGGTCGGTCTCTCCTGCCGGCCGCCACCGCGAGGGGCTGCAATCGCCGGTAGGCCGACGCGGTCCGGTCGGTTTCGGCCGGCCGAAAAAAAATATCGTAGCTCGTCATTGGACATATTTTCGCCTTAAATCACCTAGTTTCAGAGAATTTATGAGTTTTTTATTTTTTTATTTTTAAAAAATGTCAGGAGCACAACGGTCCATAGGAGTACGTAGTATTAGGGGGGAAATTCTATTTGAAGACCCAACTTTTTGTAATTGTATCAATTTAAGGCATGAATTTTATTCTTCCTCAATATAAGATCACATTTTAGATTATTGTCAATTTAAGGCCTACTTTTTTAGTTAACTTTTCATTATAAGACCCAACCAACTTTACTTTTTGACATAAATATGTGAACCAACTATTAATTGAATAGAAATATTATTATTATTTTTTCTTGTAATTTATATTTTACATAATTATAATAAAAAAATAATAAATATTTTTAGTAAAAATTATTTAATAAAAAATGAAACTATATAAATTATATTTATGCAAAAGTTTAATAATGATTATCTTAAAAATTTGATAAGTTGAATTTGAAAAATATGTATTGGAAATATTATTTTTATTAATAAACTAAATATGTACCATGGTATCAACTTTTTCATCTAAAAAGAAAATTTAAATCCAAAATCTAAAATGAAGGCAACATTATTCAAATACTATTTTTTATTTTATTACATATTTATATTATTAATAGAAAAATATTTTAATTGCATATTTTTAGAACTATCAAATTTTAAAAATAATCATTATTAAACTTTTGCATAATTATAATTTATATAGTTTCATTTTCTTATTGATGTAATTTTACTAAAGGTATTATTATTATTTTTATTATAAAATATGTAAAACGTAAATTACAAGAAAAAATAATAATAACATTTTTGTTCACATAATAGTTGGTTCACATATTTATGTCAAAAAATAAAATTAGTTAAATCTTATAATAAAAAGTTAACTAAAAAATAGGATTTAAACTGAGAATAATCTAAAATATAAGTCTTATATTGAGGAAGAATAAAATTCAGGTCTTAAATTAATATAATTACAAAAAATTGGATCTTGTAATCAAATTTTCCGAAGGAAAATGTTTAGTAACGTCCTAATTTATTTGCTATAAATGTTTACACTTTTTCGCTTCCTAACACAATAATCGTGGAATTCGATGTCTTTGTTCAAAGCTGCTCAATTTAGTCGACACTAATGGCTTCCATTATTGCCCGCTATAATTACTAATCCACATTCTTATCTTATATGCCAATCCACCACCATCATTCTTGATTCCCACGCATACATTTCGACCAATAACTATAATTACTAATGTTGTATGATTGCTCATTCATCTAATTGTTATATTTATCTTCCAAGTTAAAGTAGACTAACATTAGATAAATGACAAACGTAACATAAGAATATTGATATAATTTTTTTTTTTTTGTTGTCATACATAATTTACAAGTTATCTTATATAAAATATATCACCNAAAAAATGCTTCGAAGTCAGACTTGGATATAAATTAATATTTTTTATACAAAAATAATCAGTCTTGAATTTCATTTGATGTCTATATTCTTCATATTAAATCCATGATTGATCTCTATTGTTGTGGTAAATTACATGCCACATCTATATATTAGTAATATGACAACTTTTCATCCTCCAATGTACAATGTGATCACAATGTTGTGGTGATGTGGACATAATTAATATCTACAATGTAGAGAAGATTGTGGTTCATCCACATTCTCATCCACACCCTAACTAGCCAATGAAAAGAAGAGAGAGAAGTATTGTTACCATTTCAAGCTATTTAATTATTTAATTAATTTTCTAACTTTTTAATGAAAATTTAATAATTGGTAAGTATATAATATTGCAGTTAGACTACATTGTGCATTGGAGATGATTTTTAAATTTCATAGCTGTGAACTTAACATTATTCCTACATGGTTCACAATCTATTTAATTTATTGATATTTGTCATAATTTAATCTATAACAACATTAGAGCCTTGGAGATGCTCTTACGTTTTCTTTTCATACATTACCGTATATTATAATTTTTTCTTATTTAATTGATACATCAATTATTATTTTAAATGTTTTTTCTTCTTATTTTTAAAGTTTTATAATTT